ACTATCTCTTTTAAAAAAAAGGAGGCCACAACACGCAACCTTTACCACTATTTTGTATTTTCCCAATTTCCCATCTGTCATCACACAACCTTTACCTTTGAAACTCAGTGAAACTCAGTCGCTCTCAAACTCAGTCGCTCTCCCGTCTACTTTCGGCCATCCCTCTTTCACAATCATTTCTTCTTCCGTTCATCCTTCTCCTCGGCTCTCTTCCGTTTCACAGTAAGTCCTCTTGTTTTGCAACGTTTCTTCCTCAGTTTAGCTGGATGTATTCGAGATATTTCAGGTTTTTTTATAGTTTTTTTTTTGTTCGTTTCTTCGATTTTATTTATTATTAGAAAATAATAAAGTGGTCTATTGTCTTCCTTTCAAAGTTGTTTTGTTTGGGTTTTGTGTTTTTCCTTTGAAATATAGTGAAATGGACTTTTAAAGAAAAAAATAAATATATCTTTCCATGAGTTTGGCCGTTCATCCTTCTCTTCGGCTCTGTTTCGTTTCACAGTAAGTCATCTTGTTTTCCAACGTTTCTTCCTCAATTTAGCTGTCTTCGATTTTATTTATTATTAGAGAATAATTAAGTGGCCTATTGTCTTCCTTTCAAAGTTGTTTTGTTTGGGTTTCTGTATGTCCTTTGAAGTATAGTGAAGTGGACTTTTAAAGAAAAAAAATAAATGTGGCTTTCTGTGAGTTTGGCCGTGATAGCAAGGAGAGCTTTTGTTTGTGGTTTTTTGTGTTTAATTTAATGAAGCCTCTGCATTTTTGTTGGTTGATCAGGAAGTTTCTTTTTTGTAAAACAATGGGTAAACAACGTTGGACGCCTACGTCTGCACAATTGCAAGTTCTGGAATTTATATATGATCAAGGGGATACAACTCCGATCAAATCCAGAATCATGGAAATAGTATCTGAATTATCGTTGTATGGTTCAGCTTCTGAAGTGCAAATCTATAATTGGTTTAAGAGTAGACGTGCTCGTTTTAAAAGATTTACAAAATTGCAAGCATCGAAAGAGAAAAATAAGGTTATAGGTACGATATTCAGTTGCAATGTTATTAGTTATTATTATTAAATTTTTTGGAAAATTTGTTAACGTGATATTTGTTTTCTTTTTGAAGTATCTACAGCTTCAACTCGACTAAGACGAAGTAGGCGTTATTTTGAGTCTACAGGTTTGTATATTTTTATAGAATTTGTTTTGCATCAAATTTGTCTTTAATTAATTTTGTGTGCTTTAATATTTTTAGGTTCCATTGATGAGTGTATGTCTGAATTATCACATACTTTTGTTGGTGAAAGTTCTGATGTAAATATGGAACCTGAAAATGAATCTGAAGATGGTGTGCACTCAGTATCAGAAACAATTGATGTAAGAAATATGTCGTTTCAACCTTATATTCTTCCATCTTCTACAGTCTGTAAACATTGTGGTGCAACAAAATTTCATAGAGAAGCTAAGGGATTTTGTTGTTCTGATGGAAAAATTAGATTACAATTAAATGATGTCTCTCCTGAATTGTTTGAACTATTTACTTCTGCTTCATGTGAGTCAATGGCTTTTAAGAAAGTTGTTCGAACCTATAATAATCATTTTGCCTTCACTTCGTTTGGTGTTAAGTATGATAAAAATTTATGCCGAAATAATAGAGGTATATATACGTTCAGAGTTCAAGGGCAGGTTTATCACTTCATAAATTCACTTCTACCATTTGATGGGAATCCGACGTATTTGCAATTGTATTTCTACGATACTAATAACGAGATGTGTAATAGATTAAGAAATTCAGACAAGTTCAGTGAATCAACTTTGAGAAAGTTAATAGATATTTTGAAGTTAAATCCATACTGTGGGTTTTTCCGATCGTTAAGTGAAATTTCTGATTTTGAATCATTTAAAATTATGCTTAGATGTGATCCCGGCCTTGACCAAAGAATATATAATATGCCATCGTGTGAACAAGTAGCTGCAGTTTTGGTAGATGAAGACCCATCTGTAAACGTTCGGAGTCGTGATATACTCATTTATGGACATTCAAATGATGTACATAAAGTACATTATTATTATGGTTGTTACGATCCACTTCAGTATCCTTTAATTTTTGCTTATGGAGAACCCGGATGGCACGAAGGTATAGAAAAAGTTAATTCAAGTACTTCTTCAAATAGAGATATTGAAAATTCATTAAAAATAAATGATATGGATTCAGCAGAACAACTTTTGCAGCTCGAAGATAATGGTGAGTTTTTTTTATTTTTGAAAGTTATATTGATGTCCCGCATATCAAAATTATGACTTATTTCTTCGTTCTTTACGTGCAGTTCTGAAGAGAAAAAAAAAACGGCTGACTGTGTCATGTCGAGAATATTATTGCTATAAACTTCAGATTAGGACTTTCGATAAATCTGTGCTTCTTCATACAGGTAGGCTTTTGCAACAATATATAGTAGATATGTATGTTAAAATTGAAACGGCAAGGTTAGATTATTTTCGAAACAATCAAAAGACTATAAGAGCTGAACTTTATCAAGGAATTGTAGATAGTTTACACAATGGTGAAAATAAAGGGCATAAAATTGGTAGATCATTAGTCTTACCTGCAGGGTTCGTTGGGGGTCCTAGAAATATGACGAAAAGATATATGGATGCAATGTGTTTGGTTCAAAGATATGGAAAACCTGATGTATTTTTAACGATGACATGTAATCCAAATTGGCCAGAAATAAAACAAGAATTAAAATACAATGATGAAGTACAAAATAGACCAGATTTGTTGGTGCGCATATTTCGAGCAAAACTAGAAGAGCTTAAGATAGATTTGTTGAAGAGACACATTTTAGGGCCTGTCGCTGCATATGTTTATGTGATTGAATTCCAAAAAAGGGGTCTACCTCATGTCCATTTTCTTTTAATATTTAAGCGAAGTTCAAAGATTACCAATTCTATGCAAATTGACAAGATTGTTTCTTGCGAAATACCAAATGAAAAGATAAATCCTTATTTGCATGCTACTGTGGTCAAACATATGATGCATGGTCCGTGTGGAGAATTAAATCCTACAAATGTTTGTATGGAAAAAAATAGTACTTGTAAAAATAAATATCCAAAAGAATACATTTTACACACTTCACTAGGTAATGATTCATACCCATTGTACAGACGTCGTAATGACGGTGTTAAGGTTAAAGTAAGAGGATGTATGTTAGATAATAGATGGGTCGTACCCTATAATTCTTATATTTTAGCTAAATATGATTGTCATATTAATGTAGAAATATGTTCTTCCGTTAAAGCTGTCAAATATTTATACAAATATGTATACAAGGGCCATGATCGTATTAATTTTACCGTAAATAAAGAAACAAATGAGCATTATATTGATGAAATTTCAAACTACCAAACTGCTAGATGGATATCTGCACCTGAAGGCATATGGAGAATCTTCGGTTTCGATTTATTTGACATCTCTCCTGCTGTTATTTCCCTACAGTTACATGTTGAGAATGCTCAATTAGTTACTTACAATGAAACAGATAATTTATCACAAGTTTTAAACAGAGAATCTATTCAACGAACAATGCTAACTGAATTTTTTAGAATGAATATTTCAAATGAAAAGGCACAAACATTACTTTATAAAGATTTTCCTACATACTTTGTTTGGGATACATGTATGCGCATATGGACTCCAAGAAAGAAGCAAAATGTTATAGGTAGAATAGTTGCTGCTAATCCATCTGAGGGTGAGAGATACTTTTTGAGAGTTTTATTGAATCATATTAAAGGACCAAAATCTTTTCTAGATTTGAGAACAGTAAATGGCATCACTGTGCCTACCTATAGTGAAGCAGCATTTTTACATGGCCTACTAAGTGGGAATAATTATTGTGAGATGTGTTTGGCTGAGGCAATTTGTTATCAAATGCCTTTATCATTACGTCGTTTGTTCGCTAATATTTTAAGTTTTTGTAATCCTACAAATCCGAGAGATTTGTGGGTAAAATTTAAGGTATACATGATAGAAGATTTTTTACGTGCACATTTAACAGAAGATGATGCTGAGATTAGAGCTTTATGTTGTATAAATTCTTTTTTAGAAGTTGTTGGTAAAAATGTAAATGATTTTTGCTTGGTGGACTTTCATGTTACTATAAACAATGATGATATCTTGGCCAACATGATTTTCGAAGAAACTGTGAATATTAATCCTGGGTCTGACATGCACACTACAAACAATTTAAATAGAGAACAACAATTTGCTTGTGATTCTATTTTACATTGTGTTATGAACAATAAAAATGGACTTTTTTTTATTGATGGTCCAGGAGGAACTGGTAAAACATATTTATACAAGGTGTTACTTTCTGCTGTACGATCTCATAAGCTTATTGCATTAGCAACAGCATCATCAGGAGTGGCTGCTTCCCTATTACCAGCTGGCAGAACCGCTCATTCTCGGTTTAAAATCCCATTGGAAACAGGTCCTGATGTACGATGTTCTGTAAGTAAACAATCTGCACTTGGTCAATTGTTAAAGATGACAAAATTAATTGTGTGGGATGAAGCTCCAATGGTTAATAAATATGCTTTTGAAGCTTTAGATAAAATGTTAAAAGATATTACTGAATGTGAATTGCCATTCGGTGGAAAAGTGGTTGTGTGCGGAGGAGATTTTAGACAAGTTTTGCCAGTGGTGCAGAGAGGAACAAAACATGATATTATGAAAGCAAGTTTAGTTTTTTCATATTTGTGGCAATATTTTACACAGTTACCATTGATTCAAAATATGAGAGCAAGATCAGATCCTTTTTTCTCTGAATATCTACTTAGGATTGGAAATGGAATAGAACAGGAACATACATGTCATATGATTAGTCTTCCGTCAGATATCATGATAGATTTTGAAGATGAGTTTAGCTCATTGAAAAAATTAATTACTATTGTGTTTCCCAATTTCCACCTATATGGGGATAATTTCAATAGTATGATGGATCGAGTTATATTAACTCCCAAAAATGAATATGTTGATATAATAAACAATTTGTTAATTCAAGAAATTCCAGGAGAGATATTTAGATATTTTAGCTTTGACGAAATGATTGATAAAACAGAAGGATTTATTCATGAAGACTTTTTGAATAGTTTAACTCCAAATGGTATCCCTCCACATGAACTTATATTGAAAAAGAATTGTCCCGTTATGTTGCTTAGAAATATAAATCCTTCAGAAGGTTTGTGTAATGGAACTAGACTAATTTGTCGAGAATTCAGAACAAATGTTATTTTAGCTGAAATTGGAATTGGAGAATATCGTGGAAAACAAGTACTTCTACCCAGGATTCCATTCATTCCGCTTGAAAGTGATAAACATTCAATACCATTTAAGAGAACTCAATTTCCAATACGTCCTTGTTATGCAATGACTATTAACAAAGCTCAGGGTCAAACTCTAGATTTTGTTGGCCTATATCTTCCTGAACCTGTATTCTCACATGGTCAACTATATGTTGCATTGTCCAGAGCTAGAACAAGAGAAAATATAAGAGTTTTGATTAAACCTACTGATAAAAATAGAATACATGCTTATTGTACTAAAAATGTTGTTTACGATGAAATATTGAATTTAATACATAATAATTAGTTATTCGTGCGGATTGTACCTCTATATTTTCTTGATCGTAGATACAGTTTCAGCTTTTTTATACTTGGGTTTTGTAAAATAGATTCAGAGTATTTGATGGATTGTTAATAACTAAAATGTATTTTTTTCAAAATTTAAAGCATTGGCTAGGTTGTGTGGAGGATTGAGATTTTTTGCGTCACTTGGTCTCTTAGCTGTGTGGAATGACAAAGCTTCCAATATCCCATTTGTAAGTCCCAAATGTTGATCCATATTTTTATTTTCCTTTATGCACTGATTTGATTTTCATGACCTTACATTTAATGTTTATCTTAACACCTTGCCTTACCTAGAGCAAGTTGAGATCTTTTATTGAATGCATGTTTCCTTTAGAAAAATAAAATACAGGTTACTTACTATATGTGAATTGGATATCCTACCTATATTAATAAATAAAAAGGTGAATGAGGAGGCGCACAGTGATTAGTGCCATTTCCTTCATTTTGGCCTTTTTTTTTTTTCCCGGTTGACAACAGTGAATACTTCCCTTTCCCCCGTTTGACCCCCTTTTTTCCCAAATTTTTCGTTCTCATTTTTACTTTTTGAGGGTCCCACGTTTGAATTTTCGGTGAGCACACCCAGAGCATTTATTGGTGATTGAGCCGTTGAAAACAGATTGGACAAAACTACCCAATTTGTCATCCACCCAGAGCATTCTTTGATGCTTTCTTGACAGCTATATTAGCACCATTGGAGTGGATTTTGTGAGTTTCATTTTCATAATCCCTTTATTTCTGTTAATTAAGTTGAAAAACAGTTTAGTTATCTTCAAGTCTTTGGCTCTGTTTTTATTGGGATCTAATATAATTATCCATAATTACTGCAAAATATTAAGATTGTGGAGCTGCATAGGAAAGACAATTAAGCTACAAAATGTGAATTCATTTAATTTAATGAGTAATTTATAGTTGTGAACATGAGTTCATTTAACCTAATGACTACTACATAGTTTTGAAAATATAAAAACATGTATATGAATATTATTTTAGCTGTATGTGCTATTTCTTTAATCTTTATGATGGTTTTACTACCTGTAATCTGTTCTTCTTGCAAATAACTATCGAAAGGGTAAAAAATGTTTTGGTTTGAGATTGTGAGGGCAGTTAGGACTCCTAATATTTTTCATATTTTTAGTCTAGATTTATTTTTTTGAACAACAACCATATATTGCTGAAGATATTGAGAAAATCATTCAAGAAAAGTGTTAACTTGAAACTATTTTTGCCAATTTTTCTTGTTCTCTTGGATGTGTCGAAAACAACTACATATTTGAAGTTGCACCAGATGATTACCTGTTCAATTTAAACATACTGGTATTCGAAAGGTATTGACTTTATGGGTTTGCTAAATTCTGTCTGTGCAAACCACTGAGCTCCTGTAGAAATAAAATGAATTCTTCTCTCGCCATAAATTAAAGCAACATCAAACACTTTTCGATTCAGGTATGTTTTTATAATTATTCCCTGATTTTGACATTGGAGCACTACATTTTGTTCAATTATGAGGTGCATATCTGCAAATTTCTTCCGTCATTTCTAAACCCTTGTCTTTCTCTTTTATTGTCCGGTCAGGAATTTGAGAACTCCCAATAAACTTTCAGCATTTTGGATATCATTTTAAGGCAGCATGCTGCATAGAAGTAAGTTGTGCTTCTAGCTTTACGTTCTTATAACATGAATTAGATTATGTCCGTCTACTAAAATGTTACTTTACATAAGAGTCAAAACTTAAGTTCTAATGATAAAATAAGTAGAGTAATGAATGATAAAATATCAAATTACATGTTTGGCAAATAAATAACTCACTCTTCCTGTTACTTTCATTTCCACGCTAATAAAAACACAATAAATACAAAACTCGTGCAACGCACGAGTCCGACTAGT